AGCGCGGCAGAAGGAAACTTCCCCCCCCTCCCCAGGCTACCCTAGGGGGGGCTCCCGATGTCTACCGACGGAAATCCACTCAGGAGCACCCAAAGAACAACTGGTGCAAAAATGAGCCTTCTATACCAAAGTGGAGGGGTTCTTGCACTAAATTCCCTACTATAAAGAGCGTTAAACTTAAATTCCTCTTCATCCAGCCCCTATGATGAATGAAAGATCTAGTGAATGAAATATAAATAATAATAAATAAAATAAATAAGAAATAGTTCTTCCTAACTGCTCTGCTCCATGGAGCAGTCTATTCCTCTCTTTCCACTTTATAAGTTCAAACAACTTGTCCGCTCCCACTTACTTGTTGAGCAACGGAAGAAGTCACTGGTCTATGCAAAACCCCCACAGCGCCAACGCACGAAACACACGAAACACACACCCTAACTTGCATTTCGATATTAAAAAAACAAAAAACACCTAATAACACAAAACAACAACACAAAACACTTAGAAAACACTCAAACACCTACACCGCCACAGAAAATTAACATGTGCCTCAAAAAAAACACACTATCCTCCCAACCCAACCGACCATTTTTCAGGGCCAGACTGAAAATCAGCGCTGAGCTTGTAGCTCAGCATTATGCTGAGACTGGTACCTTTTGCTTACCTACCTACAAAAGTGTAACATAATAAGATTCAATAGTAACATCTTAAGATTCAAATTTTATTTATAACTTTTTCTTTTTTCTTTATTTCTGTGTACCCATTCACATGTACGTAATTTATTTTTTGGTGTAGCAATAAAAAAAATTTTCATTTTTCATTTTTCATTTCCACAGATTAGCTTTCAAGATCCTATCTTGTAAATTAATAATATCTATCTCATTGTTTTACCATTGAAAGGTCGCTGTACTTTTATCAGCATCTGGATGTTTCAGGGACTGTGTCTTTAGACAATGTATCAATCATCAATCAAGTCATTAAATTGTAAAGATCGAAATGTATTCATAACTAACTACATACCTACTACTTATATCTTAAACCGATATCGAGCTTTTCTTTTTATACCACTAACACAGATAATTGAATACTACTAATTAGTGGCTTCTTCTGACACAGGTGCAAATGCACTAAAAGAATGAGTCAACCTTCGTTTTTAGTTATAAGAAACTTTGGTATTGAAATAAAGTTATTTTAAATGTAGACCACTTTCTTGAAAATGGACACCATGTGTAATGTACATAGTCACAACTCGTATTTAAATAGATAGTTAGGTACTAATAAGAGGATAAATCTTCTTGGTAAGATTAAATATCCCAGTCAAGTTCCCATCTGCTTATTAACATAATAATTGACTAGATTACTTACATAACCTATCTAAAGGTCGAAGGGCCTGTGCCAAAAGCACCTATACAAATCTAGAGCGAGACAACAACATTGTTTATATCGCCATCTTACTTCGCAAAGGTCTAATGCAAGCCGGTTGCCTATTTCGTCATTCATTGCATTGCCCGACCACTTTAGCAAGACCCCTCTCACCTCACTTCCTGAAATAAATTTGCTGGTTAAAACCAAAATTACGGTTCTCAATAATTTTGGTACCAGGCTACCTGCATCTTTAGGAGGTCGATGTAGGACTGGTTTGGGTTTGCGAAACACCGGATCATAGACTTGCTTTGCATTTATGCGTCCCTAATAATAGTACAGCAGTGTAGGTAGCTAAAATGAGCTATAATTAATTCTTAGTTAAGTTTTCAATGATACTTCATAATAAAATTTTATTGGTTATTTTCCGCATACAAATGGTTTAATTCGTATTAAAATAAGATAACATAACTACACAACAACATTCTCAATGAATTAAAACTACAATAACAAACAAGCAAAGCCGTTCTTTCCAGAAGGACGGGATGCAAGATAAATAAAGTATCTACAATAAACTACTTTACCGCCTATGAATTAAAATGTAAGAAGAAACAAACAACTAAACCAACTTTATGACTACCAAAATCATAATATTACAGCATACTGTAACACCATTATACGATTGCATTTGATTCTAAACGCATTCTTAACAGTTTTCACCGCGCGCGGATCGTGCCATAAAATGGGCTCAGCGCGGTGCGCCGGCGCATTTGTCAACCAAACCTCGGCAAGACAAGTTTGAAACTACCCCTGTTTTTTAATATTTCCCGACCGTGATAAAGTGAAGTGATTGTTTTTGTTTTCGTGATTATTTTCGGAAATTGCAACTAAAAAGGTACGTTTTATGGAATAATAATTAAAAAAAGAAAAGATGAGATAAATTTTGTCATAGAGATCGATTTTGTTGACAGGTAATTGATTGTTTTTATCGCTTTTATTTATAGTTTTTATGGTGAAAGAAAGTTAGTTCAGGGCTTAGCAAAAAAACACGAAAAATCTAATTAACAATATTTAAAATGGCAATTAATAGACGCGTTTTGCTAACCTCCTAATCCGTTCAACCGAATTAATTTAATTGATTTCGATAAAAATCAAATAACAAAGAAATACCAGGTTTGAAATTATGATAATCATTAATCTATTAAAAGGTTAAACTGATAAGTTGAAACATTACTGTAGTATGCGTCGTAGGTACTACTACTATACTACTACTATTACTAGTATGTACCTACCTACCTACTACATAGTATATTACTGCTGTCTGCTGTTATGTATTCTGTAATCCAGAGTAGGGTGCTCGTACTCGTTCATACTAACAACGGCTAACTACTATACTAACTTGCTACCGGCCAGAATCGAACCCACAACCGCAGGTGGCCTTGTAGTCCGACTCGCTAACCACCAAGCCTAAAGAGGCTTCACCCGCATGCATTTTAGTAAACTTACATGAAAGTCTATAATGCGCCCTTTAAATTATTTTTGACAAAAAGTAGCTAACGCCCTTCACAAATATTACTATGAGGTCTCACAGCGCGCGTAGACGCACAGGGTGACACACGAGCCAATCACATAGCTCTATTCAACGCTGTGCGTTCGATTTGCTGCTTCACTTAAGCAAGCATCGTTTGTGAATACGGGCGTAACTCTCTAACATTAATCAAAGTACAGGAGTTTAAGTTTATTCATAAAATGGTAAGTAACAAACACAGTTACTTTCGCATCCCTACTATCCCTACTATCCCTACTCCCTACTATATATATATATAATATTATAAATGCGAAAGTAACTCTGTCTGTCTGTCTGTCTGTCTGTCAGTCTGTTACGCTTTCACGCCTAAATCACTGAACTAATTTTGATGAAATTTGGCATAGAGATAGTTTGAATTCCGGGAACGGACATAGGATAGTTTTTATCCCGGTTTTTGAAACAGGGACGCGCGCGATAAAGTTTTTCTGTGACAGACAAAATTCCACGCGGGCGAAGCCGCGGGCGGAAAGCTAGTTTATAATAATTATTAGTTATATTAAAGATAAGAAATATGAATTACGATTTACGAGTATGTTAATTATCTGTCATTAATTATCTCCAACAAGGTTCAGTTAGCGCGCGAACTTTATTAGTTTAACGATGCAGTTTTGCATTTAATACAATTATTTATTTACTATTTAACTGTTACTCTCAATATAAATTGTTTTTAACAACGTGAACGTGGTTAAGAAACAGCTCCATTTTGTAATAAGCACATCGAAATTAAATCAAACTTGTAGTGATAATAAAAGGTACAAATTATTAGGCTTGATAAAGCGATTAATAGCTTATTGTGGGAAAAGTTATTTTACGAAATTAGAGCTTGCACTCGTATAAATAAGCTCGTACTAAGTACGCCGTGACTTAGCGCTTAGGTACAAAGCCAGCGGTAGAGGGACTAGTTCCGACCAAGTGAAGTGCCAGCAGTATTATTTGATGTCTTCATTCCTTCTTTGGAAGTCAAACACACGGTGGTGTCAAACTAGACGGGATAGAAAAGCGCTTGATTCCAACGATTATTTTTGATTAGCTTAATTTTAATTCTCTGAAAATAATAAAATATCGGTGTACGTGCGTACCTAGTATGTAAAATGTAAAGCCTCATTAGCATACTTACATAAAACTTTGAAAGTTGAATGAAACTTTTACTATAATTTACAACCTAACTTACTCATTTAGAGATAAGTTTACTTCTTACTCATACAGATAAATCCACTTGACCTTTGTTTCCAAGCGACTCTATGGAATATTTGGGACTTATCAACATGTTTTGAAACATAACGGCAATTACAAAAATATAATTTGATTAGACGACGGGTCTGGAGTTCACTGGAACATCGTGTTTTGTTTTTTATTTAATTAGTCACTCATTATGTTAATGACCTCTATAATTTTGTCTGCTCCTTATCAAACTCGCGAAATTAAGTTAGCAACTAAATTAATTATATTACCAAAATAAGATCGACATCTCTAGTCTGTTAAGAAGATTAATTGGAGCCCGAATCTTGGGTTCCCTTCCCATGTAGAGCTTACTTACCTTTCCATATGCTCTTCATGTAAGTAATGCCTACATTCAGTGATCGAAGTCCTCTCAATTTTAATGTCATGAGCTAATTCTGAATGAAATGATATGAACATAATCTAATCTACCTACTACATTGTAAAGAAAGTTTAATTGATAGTAAAATAAACGTAGTGCTAATACTTACTTATGCGGGTGTTATGATGAGTCGTGCGATTGTTTAGGGAAATTCAATGCCAATCATTTCATTCCAACAATTTTGGTTAGTTGACAAATTAAATAACCGTTTTAAATTGCGTCTACTAGCTAATGTAGGTAGATATGTAAAAAATGCAACTCTCAAGGTTCAGGACTAAAATGAATGATGAGGTTTTAGAATGAAAAGTTGCGTCAGGATTATTTGTTGATGGACACCATTCATCCAAGTTTTATGTGAAGAAATAAGTTGTACATACTACATATTTTCGACGAAATCTATTTAAATATGCCATGAATGTACCAGGCGCTCATAACCCCAAACAATTCTTCCAGATGGCCCGAGTGTGCGTAATCGGCGCAGGCGCAGCTGGACTGTGCGCGGCGCGACATCTACTGTTCGAGCCCAGCGTTGGGCGCGTGGACATACTAGAGCAGGCGGCCCAGCTGGGCGGCACCTGGGTGTATACTGAGGATGTGGGCTACGATGATTTTGGGCTACCTATACATACCAGCATGTATAAAAGCTTGAGGTAAGCGAGGATTTCTTGAAAGCTTTCTTACTGCAGCTAGGTGCAAAGGGAAAATTATTTTATCTTACTAGGACCGACGATCTGGTGAAGGTCGCGGGAAGTGTCTGGATGCGGGCAGCACAGCACAGGACCAGTCGTTGGAGGCTTTTGTCCAGCAGTGGACGTCATTCGGCTGAAACGAAATGATAACGGACATAAAAGTTCATATAAGTAACCAGTGTCAGGCTTTCTTCGTTGCAATATGGCCGTCTGAACATATACAGCTGTCTCGGAAGCTCAATAAAGTGTCATCAGACTGCGGCTTTACTCAGTTTACGAAGCACAAAATGAGTTACTTACTATCCCTTTCATATCGAACAACTAAATAGATTTAGTTATGCTATCAAATTGTCTAACTTAACTTGGAGAATGATGTTTCTTTAATTTAGGACCAAGTAGAGATACTAAAGACGGATCTTAAAGTTTACACTTAAAGTTCTTAAAATAGCGAGGGGGGCAAAGATAAAAAAATTTTGTTCAGGACTTAATAAGTACCTAAGTATTTTTCATGATGTAATGACATTGCCAGTAATTAAAAATAACGAATTAAGTAGGTTTTCCTTTACCAACTTTGTAACTATCTCACTCAGTCACGTTGATAAGCCGATAGTAAAATAGTGGGGAGTAGTAGTAGGTCATCGAGATAGCTCCGAGAGTAACCTTTTTTCTGACCAGAGGCAAAATGAGACAAACGATAATTACAATGTTGCAGATGGCTCACTATTATTGGACACGTGCCTTTGAGTGATACTTTTCGCAGACGAACGATTTTAATCATCGTCCAAAGTTTAATAAATGGACTTATGACCCAAAAGAAAGATAATCTGAATCTGACTGGTAAACCCAACCACTGACCTTATTTACTGCCAGTCTTCTTCTCAAAACGTTTTCTATGTTGTGTGATAAAATTATAAATCTTCTAATAGAATTCTTGAGATTTTTGACTAAATAAAACCTGATACGGACGATCTGGTGAAGTTCTCGAAAAGAGCCTGGATGCGGGCAGCGCAAGACCGGTTTATGGAAATCCTTGGGGATGCCTTTGTCCAGCAGTGGACGACAATTGACTAAAACGAACGAAAGATCATGACGATTACTTAGCCTAAATCAAATAGAAGGTAAAATTTAGCAACACAGTATAGTAAGGATGCTTGCAATTTGAAAATTAACTATTACGCTTATTGTTATATTGGTCCTAATAAACTCTTTAATGTTACCCGTTAGCGTAATTCAATAGTAGGTAATAAAATTATGTGTCACTATCAGACGGATACTGCAAACCGATGACGTGCAATCCATACAATAGCAAGTAAACATAATGTACTATGTAAAATGGATCACAAGAGATCGGAGGTTATCAAACAAATTAATCGTTGTAAAGAACGTCTAAGTTTTCTAGAAATTGCAATAACATCTGATGAGTAAGGGGCAGGGAAATCAGTTAGGCCACTTTAAGTTACAAAAGTTTAAACAGTGAATAGGTAGGTAATTAATGCTACTGAGATAAAACTCCCAAAAGTTTAATGATAATCTTCTTTCTATCTACTCGTAGTTAGTCTAGCAAAAACTCGAGAATATTCCTGGCTGATTTAGCTGATTTTGGTTTTGAAATGTTTGTCGTAGTCCAGGGAAGATTTAAACGATGAGAAAATAGGGAAAATTGTAAGGAAAATAGTAAAAAATAATTCAATTTTCCCACATGATGGTGGTTACGAAAGTTCACCGGGTCATCTAGTTTTACATAAGATTGTTTGTAATTTCAGCATAATGGATCCGTGTCATCAATTCCTATAAAATCTATAATATGCAATAGTGACGCTATCCCTTGTCTCGGAGAGTTTTGTTATCGACGATTTACTACTGAGCGTAGTTCAAGGTGCCTTATCGATATTATTGGACTGTTACCGTGTTTGCGACGAGACGTTTATTGCAGTAGGTAGTATTTATGATGAGATAATACGAGCACAATATGCAAAGGTCAGCTGCGAGGCGATTCCGTTATAAGACAAAAGATTTGTCCTATACATAGGTACCTACTTGAGCCTATATTATGCTGCTTCAATCTAGTAATAAATGTATCTTTCTCTCTTTCTTTCTTTCTTCTTTCGTCGCCTCTTCTCTGAATAAGGGAATATCGTTAAGGATATTGGTCTGGTCTACTCCCCTAAACTAAGTACGTCAACTTTCTTCGTGGCAAGTTCTGATCTATGTTAGTCAGATTCTACCGCAATTTTTTGATTCGTTCTTCCGCTAAAGTTCCCAACTCTCTTTCCCACCGCTGCAACTCTTGTGTAGCTAGGATCTACAACTTGAACGCCAATAAAAACACGACCAGTGAAGGTCAAGATCTTCTTCAAAGTTTTTGAAAAAGAGGCTGACAATAGTGTCTGAGTTTCTTGCGCTGCTCCTTCTCAGCACTGGCCCATTTATTGTCCTGAATAGAGATGGGTAAGTGCTAATAGTTAATCCGATTAATAGCAATTGGCTAGTAACGGATTAAAAGCAGTTATTAGCCATAAATAGCCAATAATAGCCGATTTCAGATGGTAACCCTGCTATTAATGTTATACTAATGATTAAACATATCCCTTCATAGTTTTCAAATTTAGCACTTGAAATTTGGAAGGGACGTAGCTTAGGTACCGTAGAGGTGCATTAAGAAAGGAATACCCGAAATTCCAACGGGCACGGGAATTAGCGGGAAAATCCTTTTGTATGAAAAATCTAAACCGCTTAAGTTAGACGCTTGAAATTTGGCATGCAGGTACCTTAGTAAACTTAAAGCTTAGTTACAAGAGGATATTGCAAAATTCCCACGGAAACGGGAGTTAGCGGGAAAAAAACATTTGTATGAAAAAATCTAAACCACGTAAGATAGACGCTTGAAATTTGGCATGCAGGTACCTTAGTAAAGTCAAAGCTAAGTTACAAGAGGATATTGCAAAATTCCCATGGGAACGGGAGTTAGCGGGAAAAAACACTTGTATAAAAAAATCTACACTACGTAAGATAGACGCTTGAAATTTGGCATGCAGGTACCTTAGTATTTTTCATACAAAAGGATTTTCCAGCTAATTCCCAATACCGTGGGAATTTCGGGAATTCCTTGTTGCAACTAAGCTTTGAGTTTACTAATGTACCTACATGCCAAATTTCAAGCGTCTGACTTAAGCGGTTTAGATTTTTCATACAAAAGGATTTTCCCGCTAATTCCCGTTCCCTTGGGAATATCGGGAATTCCTTGTTGTAACTAAGCTTTAAGTTTACTAATGTACCTACATGCCAAATTTCAAGCGTCTAACTTAAGCGGTTTAGATTTTTCATACAAAGGGATTTTCCCGCTAATTCCCGTTCCCTTGGGAATTTTGGTAATTCCTTTCTTAGTGCACCTCTACGGTATTTAAGCTACGTCCCTTCCAAATTTCAAGTGCCTACGTTTAGCCGTTTAGGCTGTGTGTTGATCTGTCACTAAGTCAGTCAGTTTCTCCTTTTATTGTATAATATTTAGATTCTTTTTTAACTACAATGTCATTTATATAAATTACATTGATGTTTTTTAGTTCTTTTTTGTTTCTTTGAGTAATATTTGATTTTAATATTGATTTGATTTTAAAGGTGGAAGAAAAAACGTAAGAAACTATTAATAGCAGGGTTAATAGCCAATGGATGGCTAATAATGGCTATTAATAGATAATAATCAGTTATTATCCAAACTAGCTGGCTACAAACCCATCTCTAGTCCTGAAGCAGTGGTAGGGTTAATACTGGGACGTGTAAAAGTGCTTTTTTAAAGCCTACTTACAGAAATAAATGAGTTTTACTGAGTTTTTTGATAACAGGATCCGCTACCTTAAATCAATGTAAGGTAGCGGATCCTGTTATCAAACTTTATTAGTCAACCCAACTGAAAATACATTAGTGTTTATTTCTTTGCAGGACAAACCTCCCAAAAGAGATCATGGGCTTCCCAGATTTCCCGGTTCCTGAAAGTGAGAAGTCATATCTACCCGCCAAGGATATGCTGGCATTCCTTCAGTTATACTCGGACAAACATGGCGTTACTCCTCACATAAAGGTAACAATTTCCACTAAGTTATTTTATATCTTTGGTCTAGTAGAGAAAAAGATAGGGAACTTCTTCAAGCAAATATGAGCTTGCACCAGAATTATAACTAACTACAAGTCTACAATCATTAGTCTCCGCCTCAGAAGTACGACCCTTTTACCAGAGGCAAATGAAGGATGTGACATACACTCCTCTCGCTGCCCAGACGATAAAACTACTTGCAAACTAAGTAGATAATAGAATAATTACTTTATAATCATTATAGCTAACATTTGGTTTGTTTGATTTCATATAGGTAGGTACTCGTAGCTTATATTCATTGCGTGGATACGTCCTATGACTAAAATGATGATGATGGCAACTAAGACTTAGAGCATCCTGATAGAATTTTCTAAACACACGAGCTAAGATAGATCCAGACTCATACAAGAAGCCCCCAAATTCTTAAATACCCGGCTACCATATCCCCAAACGTCTTCCACAGTTCAGCCACCACGTCCAGATGGTGATCCCGAAGGCAGGTCCTACGGGAGAGCTCTGGGACATCACTTTCAAGGACCTGAAGACCGGGGAGTCGGAGACCAGGGAATATGATTACGTGTTCGTCTGCAACGGACACTACAACACCCCGTTCATACCTAGCATACCGGGGCTGAAGCAGTATGAAGGTGAGTCTTAAAAACTGGGTATAGCCTGGATTTATAGGCACCTAATCTACCTAAACGTTTAAGCAATGCATTAAATGTTTCTTGCAATAAATATTTCTTTCTTTCTTTCAATTTATTAAACCTCTAATGATATCTAATACGAGTACATACAAATATTTTCGCAATTGAGACTAAAAATTTCTAATTGTATCTTATCTAACCTCATCTCTCGCAGAAAATGCGCGATAGCTTTCCAATTTCAAGATTTATGATCCCGTTTTACCCCCTTCATCTATCTTACGCGGTTTAAATTTTTTCATACAAATGTTTTTTCCCGCTAACTCCCGTTCCCGTGGGAATTTTGCAATATCCTGTTGTAACTAAGCTTTAAGTTTACTAAGGTACCTGCATGCCAAATTTCAAGCGTCAACTTAAGCGGTTTAGGTTTTTCATACAAATGGATTTTCCCGCTAATTCCCGTTCCCGTGGGAATTCCTAAGTATACTATAACCTGCCCAGGAGTATGAAGAATAACTGTACCAAGTTTCGTTAAAATTAGTCGAGTAGTTTCTATTTCTATAAGGAACATACAGACAGACAGACAAAAATTTTACTGATTGCATTTTTGGCATCAGTATCGATCACTAATCACCCCCTGATATTTATTTTAAAAATATATTTCATGTACAGAATTGACCTCTCTATAGATTTATTATACTTAAGTATAGACTATAGATTATCTTGAAGCTCTTTAAAATGCGATGCTATACAAATATTCAATCATTCAAGTTGTATCAATGGTTCCAAAATTAACCCTACATGCCTACATACTTACAAGTAGTTACGACCAAAACCTTAACCAATAGCTCATAATATTGACCAAGATAACTACTTACCAAACCTTCCATCCTCAGGCGATGTAATGCACAGCCACGACTACCGAGTCCCGGAAATCTTCGCCGGGAAGCGTGTCCTGGTCGTCGGAGCAGGTCCCTCAGGAATGGACATCGCTCTGGAGATCACCTCCGTCACAGACCTGGTCATCCTGTCGCATCACCTCAAGGAGAAACCGCAGACCGTCTTCCCAGAGAACCTGGTCCAGAAACCGGATGTGGTGAAGCTGGAAGGAAGGAAAGCAGTGTTCCAGGATGGCAGTGAATATGACGTGGATGTCGTCTTCTTATGTACAGGTAAGATTTTTATATCTATACTAATATTATAAAGAGGAAAGATTTGTACCTATTTTTGTATGTTTGTAATGAATAGGCTCAAAAACCACTGAACGGATTTTGATGAAACTTTACAGTATTATTGTTCATAATCCAGAATAACATACAGGGTGGAAACGATAAGTGATCTCACGCGATTAATTCTAAACTATACAAGATATCGATAAACTGATTACTGATCCTGAAAGTGCTTCACGAGTTCTTTCAAACGATATCAGTATAGGATACAGAATTAACTGGATTTATCCGAAAATTCTATGTTTTCAGCCTCCATACTAAATGTATGCCAGCCACACAATATTGGAATTGTTAATTTTTTTTATTAAATAATAAACACTTAAAATTAACTCGTAAATTGCATTCAAATTTAAAATTATTCATGGAAAACATTGGTTTTAGGCTTTACTTGCTATATAATATTATCAAGACATGCGTGCCATGACTGTAGCCGTACTAAATGTATGGAAGCTGGAAACATTGAATTTTCGGATAGATCTAGTTTATTTTATAACTTATTATTGGTACCGTTGGATAGAGCTCGTGAAGCACATTCAGGAGCAGTTACCAGTTTTTCGATATCTTGTATAGTTTTTAATATTATGTGGTTTTACTAAATGTATGGAGGCTGGAAACATTAAATTTTCAGATAGATGCAGTTTATTTTGTAACTTATTATTGGTACCGTTGGATAGAGCTCGTGAAGCACTTTCAGGATCAGTTACCAGTTTTTCGATATCTTGTATAGTTTTTAATATTATGTGGTTTTACTAAATGTATGGAGGCTGGAAACGTTAAATTTTCAGATAGATGCAGTTTATTTTGTAACTTATTATTGGTACCGTTGGATAGAGCTCGTGAAGCACTTTTAGGATCAGTAATCAGTTTTTGGATATCTTGTGTAGTTTAGAAATAATCGAGTGAGATCACTTATCGTTTCCACCCTGTATAGGCTATAATTTATGACGATCTGTGACAAACGAAATTTCACGCGTGCGAAGCCGCGGGCGGAAAGCTAGTTTATTGTAAAGTGGAACTGTTCCATTAAATTTTGTGCTATTCTTTTGAAGCAGTGATTTCTTTTCATATTTTTTGTGTAAATTTTCTTACTGATCAATCCATCCATACTGTCTACAGACTCAGTTAGAGTTTGTTACTTGAGTACTTTACCACTCCGGAACTTCGGAGTGATGATCGATTACATTTATAGTGTCCCACTAACTTTACTGGACTACCTACTACTTCGGGACTTTTTCTTAATTTGAACATATTTCAGTTTATAGAGGTCAGATGACAATCATGTCTTTGTCTTTTTTAATCTTTTCAATATTAGAAAAGTGAGATTAAACATCAAGAACGTTAGTGACCATTGTATTGTGAATGCCGACAAAGAGGCTGACAATAGTGACTGAGTTTCTTGCGCTGCTTCTTCTCAGCACTGGCCCATTTATTGTCCTGAAGCAGTGGTAGGGTTAATACTGGGACGTGTAAAAGTGCTTTTTTAAAGCCCATTTGCAGAAATAAATGAGTTTTGTCTCTTCCCAGGCTACCAGTACAACTTCCCGTTCCTTCACCCGTCGTGTGGGATCGTGGTGGAGGAAAACTGCGTGGAGCCGCTCTACAAGCACCTCGTCAACATCCACCACCCCTCCATGTGCTTCATCGGGGTGCCTTACTATGTCTGCGCCTTCTCTATGTTCGACTTACAGGTAAGCAAGGAGAGCTTCTCTAAATAAACCTCTCATCTCATCTCACTTAACACCAGGTGCGATTGCGGTCAAATACCTGTCTTGTCTAAAGCCCAGTCCGTGAGCACGTAGAATCCCGTCCAATGACCCCAAGCTACCCATCCCTATCGCTCGCGCGTAATTATGTTGCTGTCGCGACTGTGCGACGCGCGCCCGCAGTGAGTGTGCGAGCGCGACAGCAACATAATTACGCGTGAGCGATAGGGATATACAGTGTGTCCGGGCATGTAGTGATCAAACTTTAAGGGCGTAATCTATGGACAATTTTATCGATGAAAATACTTCAAATTTGGGGCCTGACCCATTTCTCGAAAAATTACATCGATTTAAGTTTTTAATTTTTAGTTTACACCTCTTCTTTAAAAAACAGGTTAAAGCGTGGGTAGCTTAACATTAATAGGCAAATATTTTATATCATGCGATAGCTAATAAAATTATCTATTAGTAGAAGAAGAAAGCAGACACAAGTTTCATACATTTTTAGGGAGTAAGATTGGATTTAATTAGAAAAATACATTATTTTTTTAACTTCTTTTTCAGTTATTTTCCAACACAAGAAAAACCAGGTCGTTAAGGTATGTTTTATTTGCATTGTATTTCTAATATTTGAGCTATTCTACAAAACGAATGTAAATTTATTAGTCTACGTCTATTAGTTTCGACGTAATTGTTGAACAAAGATACCCCTTCCCAGCGGTTTCCATAGGAATCGGAATAGGTTGTGTGATTCTTTCAGGCAGTGCATTTTCGAATGTCGCGTGCGCTATGGAAACCGCTGGGAAGAGGTATCTTTGTTCAACAATTACGTCGAAACTGATAGACGTAGACTAATAAATTTACATTCGTTTTGTAGAATAGCTCAAATACTAATAATACAATGCAAATAAAACATACCTTAATGACCTGGTTTTTCTTGTGTTGGAAAATAAATGAAAAAGAAGTGAAAAAAGTAATGTATTTTTCTAATTAAATTCATTCTTACTCCCATAAAATGTATGAAACTTGTGTCTGTTTTCTTCTTCTTCTAATAGATAATTTTATTGGCTATCGCATGATAAAAAATATTTGAGTATTAATGTTAAGCTACCCACGCTTTCACTTGTTTTTTAAAGAAGAGGTGTAAACTAAAAATCAAAAACTTAAATCGATGTAATTTTTCGAGAAATGGGTCAGGCCCCAAATTTGAAGTATTTTCATCGATAAAATTGTCCATAGATTACGCCTTTAAAGTTTGATCACTACAAGCCCGGACACACTGTATATAGGTAGCTTGGGGTCATTGGACGGGATTCTACGTGATCACAGACCAGGCTTTAGCATAAAAAAAAAACATAATATAGATCAACCCTAAGGCCTACTATGCACGAGTGAATAGTCGTCTTCTAGGCAATCTCAGTCCATTAAAAGATCGCATCTCTTGGATGAGATTGATCAAGAGCAATACTACATTTAAAAAACACCCACCATCCCTAAATGTGCTTTATTAGAATCCCTTATTATGTGTACGCCTTCTCTATGTTTGACTTACAGGTAAGGAATTCAGAGATAGGTACCCTTTAAATTTACCAAGATTTCAACATCCACTCGCGAGGAGGGATAGTTCTTCATCGGCGTGCCTTATTACAAACTTAAGTGACAGTGGGCAGGGGCACATAGCAAGTAGAACTGATGGCCGTTAGGGCATAACTTGACTGATTGAAACGGGCATACCGTTTTCACCATCAATCCTTAATTTTATGTGACCCCTATGGTAACACATAACAGGAATTTCGTTTCCATAGGGGCCACTTAAAATTAGGGATTGATAGTGAAAACGGGCATTAAAGTCCTATGTCCCCTAGATGGAGCAGAGGGCATCCACAGCAGTCCTTCATTGCAATGTCTTGAGCTTCGCGTTTGATTTCGCTCTAAGTCTAGCCAATTTCCTTCACCTCGTCAGCTACAAAGCGCTGTTTATGACCCTGTACCTGTTGTGGTAATCCTTGGGGAAAACCTTTGCCCAGCAGTAGACATCCCTTGGTAGAAACAAAACCAGCCTATGATGGCAGATTAAAACCTACTTCTTCCTCCAGGTCCGGTTCTACGTGCGATCAATGAACGGCACCTTCAGCCTGCCGACGCCCGCCCAAATGACTGAACATTGGGAGCAGGAGAAACAGGACCGGGCGTCCAGGGGTTACACCAAGCGGCAAGCGCATATGATGGGGCCTGACCAGGTATACTACTCACATCTGTATTCTTTTTGCTGCTGTATTTCAGGCACTAAGCAAGTGTTTAGAGACCCCTTTATTTTACCCTACTACGCCAGAAGGAAGGTTATTGCTGCTGTATTCAGGCTCCTCTTTTAGTGGCACTCTAGGCAAGTGCCCCCATGAGCACTTCACCCCGTGATCAAGAGGGATTACCCTTCTGCTCTAAAAAATGTTAATGTTGGTAATAGAAGTCGTAGATTTTTTCAAATTTGCAATGACCTTTTTTAGAGGAAAAGAGCCCTCTTGATTGTTATAAATTCCCAAGGCTCCCAGTAGGATAACAAGCAAAACGTAACAAAAAATAACACAAATTCTATGGCAAATCGTTCTATAAGTTAAACAGAAAAACGAAACTGCTAAAAAACCACAAGCACAACCACTTTAAAACGCACATCAAATTACCGAACATCCGAGAATGGCAACTTTTCTGGTTAACGCAAACCATATAAGTACCTAATTTGTAAGATACTTGTGACCTTATAATCTCCTGGTTAATAATACCGGGAAATGAATCTTAAACGGAATGTTTAGCATTTAAAAGGAGAGAAGGCTTTTCAATGTCAACCAGAAAATAACATCCTTTGTAGCCTTAGGCCGCGTCTGCGTGAGTGCATTTCCGTTCTTGAATGGAAAATAACAATGATTTTACGTAAAAATATATAATATATCTTGAGAACTATGTAGGCATTTTATGTAGTGTAGTAATTCTATTGGTGAAAGAATTTAATAATTTAGATTAATATTTCCGAAGAGAGAGAAACAAACATTTTAATATTTTCGTGTCTGTATGATAAGTCTTTTTTAAAATGGGTAAGGTAGCAAAATAACTACCACGAGCATTCTTATAACTAGGTACTTATACTATGATCAGATAACTCATATTTTATGGAAAACAATCTTACTAAAGGAAGTTTCAAATTATATTAATTACTTACTGCACACTTGATTTGTGCGTCACCGTTGCTGCAATCAATTAAAATTAGAATTTTAAATTGATATTATTAGCTACCTCAATTTCCATCTGCATCATATTCATGATTCACGTGCACTCAATGGTCAGTTGTGATTTGTCAAAAAAGTACCTATTCTCAAAGTCAAAGTCAAAATGTCTTTATTTGTTTAGACTAATAAATAGTTCTTACAAATCGTCATTTTGCTCTTAAGGAGCCTCTACATGTCTCATAATCTTTTTACCCTACCAGCGCTTCGAGACCAACATTTGGCAAGTGCTGAGAAGAAGCGCCGCAACAAACTCAGTCACCACTGTCTGCCGGTTAATATAAATAAATAGAAAAAGCAGTAGTAGGTACATTTGATTCAGGAGCAGTTCACTGAATTTACCACGCATTCTTGTATGATGTATCTTATAAGAATGGGTATACAAAATTGCGTGGCATATTAAACAAGGTAGTAACGTGCTAATATCTAGATTTACAAATTAAAATACTTAAATACTAGTAGAAATGACTCGCATTAATAAATTTGAATAACTTGGATTGACCAGTCCCCGAAAGCAGCGCCTGTTCACAGACATGACGAGTGAACCAGCCATCGCTTCACTCGACCATATTAGAGGGAAATGTAACGACCCGCCTCACTACGCCACTCAAAGCCAATTCATTATTTTATAAATAGCTAAAGCGAGTTATTTCCGTAATAATAATGATTTCCTCCAGGCAGAGTACTACGTATCGCTTTCGACCGAGTCTGGCGCCACGCCCCTACCGCCTGTGTTCACCAAGGTTCACAACGACAGTAGCCAGAAGTTTCTTGACGACCTCACGCATTACAGAAACGACGTTTATCGCATCCTCGACGACTCCACGTTCATTTGCTTCACTAAAACCTGCTAGGGTCGCGCAGGGAGCGGCACTCGTGCCATTACTATTCCTTATCCATAAAACATAATTCATTAATATACAGAAGTCAGTGGGTAATTAAGATAAACAATATGACCAGATATCGAGAAATAAACATTTATTTAATAATGCATTATACAATAAAGTTATGACGATTCACAGTTTGTTTATCCTTAGAAGTATGTTTAGAGCCCCCTTAGTTTAGATAATTTACAATTTTGTAGGTAGTAAGAAATAAAGTTATCTTATAATATCAAACAAAACATTTTACATTTATTGCATTACGTCACATTACAAAGACTTATGTCTTCTCTTAATTTACAAATTTAATAGGCATCATTAAATTTTAATTTGGACTTAAACAATTTAGCTACTTTTTTATAACCATCGGGTCTTATAACCTCCCGTAGGCGTCCATCGTAGGCATAACACTCTGAGCAACCTTTTTGCTTTGTAAAGAGGGATAATTTTACGTCTTCAATTCCACACGTAGCGTCGTCGAACACCTATTTTCTTCTAATTAATTATGTTGTAGCTACTGGTCTAGCACTCGGTTATATGCAGTATATTATACGGCAGTTATAGGCGATTATTGGTTCGATACAAAGGGGTTCCTCATCTCTCCAAAATCCTGCCACTGTAAAATTGTTGGAATTTTCGCGTTTCACTGCCACAGAGTGAATAACCCTCCTTCTAACGCAGTCGGGTAAAAACTCAGTGTTTTTGTGTAATGTATTAAAACTGGTTTGTCGTTGAAAATGTATTCTATAAAAATAATGCATTTAGATCCATTCATATTAGGGTAGGTACAATTAAAAAAAAACTTAACTTGAAAAATACCTACTTATTTCTCTCTTTGAGTGCAAAAAGCAGACAGGATGATGATGCTTGAATTTTAATCATTGCTGATTAACAATTTGTTATTTATTATGAAGTACCTACTCGCTTGATTGGTGTTCCTGTCATCGCATCATCAATCAAATTAATCTATAAGAAATGCACCGCTTAAAAATAACCAAGCTTTATAAATAAAACAACAATAATTAAAACATTTAATAACCGTTCTGACTAGACGTATCTATTACATTATTCATGGCAGCTAACAAGATAAGTTATACAGAGAAAGTAAGAAGTAACTATACTATTATTCCAGAAAATGCTCGTTTTCGAATAGAATTTTCGAATATAAATACTTTAAATTAAATGAATTCCATAAAATACTCAGCAATTTGCAAAACAACGTTAACAAATCAATACTTTTAACTAATTTTACGTTATTTAATGACACTATAATTAGAAAAACTCTATAAACTGTCCACTAATTTACCAGGAGCGCATAACCGACACACAAATCTTGCATAAATTATACAAGGACTAACACGTCTTGGTCCTGTCACTGGCTAAACCGCACTAGAGCGATGCACTAACCTGCTATCGCCGCTCACTTAGGGTTATCACTGGCTTGCCTTGGAATAAAATCTAAAATTAGTACTTGTAAAAGGGCACTCGATATCTTCAATGAAACGCTACGGTAAATGTTGTACTTACCATTTAGCACGCCAATGTTTTTGTAATTTTAGATATTTGCTGTTGAATAGTAGTTGCTAGTTTGGAGTGTAATTCTTAAAACAGTTTTATGTTTGCTATAACAGTAGTTTGCTAATATCAACATCCGATGTTTTAAATTCAAATGATGTCCAGTTACTAAGTGTGGGAAGTGGTGTAAATGTGTTTGAATATAACATTGCAAGAACTATTGTCATTTATATTTGAACACCTCATCTGTCTTGTTGAAAACCTTGTTGTTAACCTATTGGTTAACTGGAGGAAAATTCCACAAGGCATTACGTTCGCCTTTCGACATTAATACTTGAATTTTAGTTTCATTCCTGTCTTCTTCTTTTGTGTAGATTGTTTGTAACTGCCTTCATAACCTTTGACTATTGGACTTTCAAGCCTTTTAGGATTGTTTGAGTTTTCTGTTGGCCACATAGGTAATTTAGAAGCTTTAGGATTAATCCAGGTTCTTGTAGACCACACTGTTACGTTAGAAGTTTTCTAGACATGGTTTTCTTACCTTTTTATTTTGTTTCAGGAAAAATACTACGCATCGTTAGCCTTAGAAGCTGGTACCAAGACCCTGCCCTCTGTCCTCACCAAGATTCGAGAGGAGAGCTCCATCAGGTTCCTTCACAACCTGAAGAACTACCGACAAGACATCTACAAAATCATCGATGACGACACTTACGAGGTCATCAGTAATGGAAAACGAGAAATTCTTTGTTGACCCTAAAATGAGAACATAATTATTTAGGTTACGTCGAAAATCAGTGGGTTGTTGTGGGTAGACGTAATTCTAGTGGGTAAGTTCCTAATTAATTTTACTACAGTCAGTGATAACTTTCAGTTTAACTTCCCCAGGGACAAACTTGACCTTCACTGGTTGGGTTTTCATTGGCGCTCAAGCTGTAGATCCTGGCTACACAGGAGTTGCAGTAGTGGGAATGAGTGGGAAATAGTCCCGTTGACAGTCAGTGAATATTTTTATAATAATTTAGGATTGTAAATAGACTAAAAGTGACTATACTGTAATAATAACGTACTGATTGCCGACTATTTTTTTACATGGTAAGCATAGTAATATTGCTAGTGGTAAGAAAACCCAAATGCCATAGAAACCAAGCAAAGAGGCATTATACTATTTCCCGTACCTGTACTACTTAACGCAGACTACTTTAAGACATTTAATTTATTTTACACTAATTATTTTAATTATACTAACAAAATTGTAGTGTTAAGTATTTTTAATAAAGAATTGAGATCATATTATGGTTAATATTTATTGGTCGGGTGTTTCCTATGTATTATAATATTATGTTTTTACATTTAAAATATTTATACATATTATATGTATTATGTCAATTGTCTAGTACTCATAGGCAGTGTACAAAATCCAAGGTTATTATTTTAATTTTGGTTTGATCGAAATAAAACACCTGAATCAGCCAAAAATATTTTATTTAAGCGTATTTATAATCTTTATATTATCAATGCTGATATATTATTAATCTTTACTCTAATATTTTATGGCTTCCCTTTCGATTACAAGCTAACATTAATATGGATTCATAAATATTACAACAGTTCTTTTGTTCCAAAGTCTTGCCTCGATCAGTTGCACGGCTGTTGTAATTTTGTATGAATTAAAAGTAGTATACATACGCTGGGCCGAGCCAATATCGTTCTTTATAGTTTGTACTTATTTAATAACCGCTTCAGATACATACATTTATTTAAAATAAAAAGTTACTTTACGATAATATAAAAATACCTTTTTTCAATATTGTTTCCAAATTCGCACTTTTTAGTTCATTTTTCAAATATATTTGTCTTAAGGTTTTAGAGTCCAATATAATATAAGTATGCTTTTTGTGTATATGTAAAATCATAATAAAACAAATCCTTAAAATACTTACTAAAAAAACTTAAAAACTAGATTACATGTTAATTTATAACAAAAAGTACGACGCACGCAAAACAATGTAGTTTATTACATTTGGAGACCTTAAAATATAAATTTGCCAAGATCCTACAATATTTGGCCACGTATTTATTATTAGTAACTGAACTAATGAAGCTTATCAAAAAATTACAACGCTAGAGCATTCAATAATAATATTTTAGCATAAAAACGACGTTAAGGCTGAATCTTTCCACTTTTCTTATAAACTCCATCGGCCGCTCCGTACAAAACCTACCTAGTCCTACCCTTGGTCGACCTACCTACTTCCCTGTCTTTCAGTCCCTTTAAATACTTCGATATGAATCAAAAGGATAAAAAGCAGGGCCCGATCACATACCCTGTGAAAATTATACATAAAAAAGAAGTTATATAGTAAATGGCAACGTTCAGATAAAGCAGAAAAAATACCAAGTCACTGGCGATACTTATATACCAACTACATACAAACTTATCTATATACAGTCTTACTTACGGCGAAAATAAACGAGTGTATCAAGCGTCTAGCACCATTTCGATATAAAGTATACTCAATTTAACATAAAATTATCAACCAAAAATATAAAAATCAGTGAAAAAACAATATATCATAACAAACAGCTCCTCTCTATGCGCATTAATTATTGTTTGTCAAACATTTTCTCCAAAATTATCCAAAAACACGACTTAGATAAATCACTGGTTAATTTTGAATAAAACAAGGGACTAGTTAAAACAGTATTGCGTTCAAGATAATAGACATTTATAATAGGAAGAAAAACTACGTATACATAAAAATCTAATAGAATAATATACATGAAAAATACAACTACTATACACTGAGATTACAGCGTTACACGTATAAAAAATAAATCACATATCATCACCGAACCGGTCGCCCAGACCAAGCCATGTCCCGCGCTCACTCGGCCCACACTCGAAGTAATCAACAGTCCAAACGGGATACCACTAAAATAACATAACAAGGGTAACTTTAACATGTCGTAACGCCTTCGAGGACGGCAAGTGTGAAAATGTCATAAATTGAGCCTCAAAAATCTACGTTGTACTTTAGGACCTGTATAGTGAATGGGATTTACAGACCGTAAAAGAATCTACTGCACACTCTAACATCGAGATAGGTAAAATGTGTACTTTCTATTTATGTAAATAATGGAAAATAAAACGATCAAGATTGTTTGATTGCACTGTAACATTGTCACTGCACTGTGCCTGTACAGTACCAGGCTAGCACGATGCTTAAGATAATTACTTATATCTAAGCGCATTGTGGATCCACTTACATCAGTTATTTGATATTTCATCATGTGGTAAAGTATTAAATTGCCGTTTCATATTGAGAAGTTAACGAAAATGTATTTTTCCATACAAACATTTTTGCTATTTTTTAAGTAACCACAAATCTTGGTGTTATGAAATTTTGTAGATAGATTGAGACAACATTGATAATTTATAGGACGCACAACAAAATGATACTTTAAAAAAATATCAATATTTCTAAAACGGAAACGGAGCTGTTTTAGAACATTTATTTCTAAAATTAGCATAAAATTGTATACGTAAATATAATTCCTTGAAATGAAGTTTAAAATAAACAAAAA